TAAACTAAAGTCTGATTCAGTTCTGGGGGAATCCCTGGGTGGAGAGAGGAAGGAAGTAACTCCTAGGTTCATGAGAAGGGACTGTTATGGTGTTCACCAACTACATTTCGGATTAATTACCAAAGGCCTCAATGCCTTCTCCAAGCCTTGACTGTTGAGTCAGAAAGCAGATAAGCAGATGCTGTTCTGTCCAGAGGCAACAGGCAGCTTGAAAAGGGAGTTGGGGGTCAGACTTGGCTCTGGGCAAATCACGCTTCCTCTCTAGAACATGGGAATAACAATAGTACCCATCTCAGAGGGAGCATTCTGGAGAGTAGCTGGCACAGAGAAGGATAAGCCCCATCTATTATTGGAACAAAACTATGCTGGCACATTCCAGAAGCAGGGTGCTCAATAGGGTTGTGTTTCTAGGGGAGGAACTAGTTTCTTTTGGACAMTACTGGCAGGGTGAATGTTCTACTGCACAGATGAGATCAAGTCTGTGTAATCAAGTTCTTATCCTATTCCTTGACCTTCTGTGGATCCCTACTACCTTCCAGTTAAAGCCTAAATTCTTTTTCTTTTTAAATATGTTTTAGTTGTAGATGGACACAATACCTTTATTTATTTATCTTTATGTGGTGCTGAGGATTGAACCCAGTGCCTCACCCATGCTAGGTGTGGGCTCTACCACTGAGCCACAACCCCAGCCCCAAAGCCTAAATTCTTTAACTTGATCAACAAGGCCCTACATAATCAGGCCTCTGTAGTCTTTCCTATCTTTTTTCGTTTCTTTTTGGTACCAGGGATTAAACCCAGGTGTGCTTTACTCCTGAGCCACATCCCCAGCCCTTTCTATTTTTTTTATTTTGAGACAAGATCTCACCAAGTTGCTTAGAGCCTAAGTTGCTGCGGCTGGCTTTGAACTTGCAATCCTCCTGCCTCAGCCTCCTGTATCACTGGGATTACAGGTGTGAGCCACTGTGCCTAGCTTGAGTCTGTTATTGCACTTACCACCTCCTCTGGACCTACTTCCTCTGGACATAATTTTCTCAAGGACTCCCCTCTAAGCAGGCTGTAGGGGCCTTCCCAGTTCTTCCAGCACTTTCAGCTTCTCTCTTACCACTAGGTTCTGTATCTTGTTGYCTTTCCCACAAGGCTCTGAAAGGGAGCTCAGTATTTATGGAATTAATGAATATAAGGGGAGCAGTTCTAATAAAAAAGGAGGTCATTGTACATTGGCTAAATATCTCAAAAGGTATTTATTTTAGCAGAGTAGGAATGATCAGGGACCATGATTTTCAGTTTTGGAGCAAAGGAATGGAGGTCAGTCACACCAGATGGGAACCTAGAGACTCAGACTTTGCATGAAAGGCTTAATTAACTTTTGGACCTCAATTCTTCATAGGGCTGGTGAAGGTTAAAGGAACAAATGTGTATCAAGTGCCCAGCACAGTGTCCAGTATGCAACATAGACTTAGCAAATATGTATTGATTCTTATCTCTGTCTTAAGATGGAGGCACATGCCCAGAAAAGTTCCCTGAGTTGAGACAACAGACCAGAGAAGAGCTGGGTCTATACTCCAGGGCCCCACCTTACAGAGACACAGCCCTATTCCTTCTTCTCCCACTTTAGGAGTCAGTGTTCTTGGGTGAATGAATATATGGCCCTGTGGAAATCATCACTTCTGCACACACAGAATGCTTYGCCTGGGTCTGGTGAATGGGAAGCTGTATGGGCTACATGGCTGCTGTGGTTGAAAACTCTGTATCCAAGTTCCACTATAAGACGCAGTTAGGAAATTTAGATGACACTCAGGCATCTGAGAATTTTTTCCTGGGATTCTAGTCTTCTCCCCCAAACCTGTCAGTAACTAGTTCGTCTTCAGCTGTCAATCCCTTTTAGCCTCTACTCTTTTTCCAGGGAGGCTAGGAAAGGGTTTCTGCAGGGGAATGATATGCAAAGTTTAGCTAACCTCTCTTCACACCTTAACACCTTTATTTAACTGCCTTTTCCTGAGGCCAGGGGTTTCCTGACACAAGCATCTCATCCTTTGCTTTCCTAGTGACCAGCATACTACCTAGAATGCAGAAAATGGTAGCTGAAGGAAGCAATGAATTAACATTTCTGCCTTTCTCAAGTGCTTAGTCTGTAACTAAGTGTAAGCGCAGACGGCTAGCACTTACTTTACCTTATAGGATCACTGCTGCTCTGTGCTTTGGAAACCATAGATGAGGAAGCTGAAGCTTGGGGCTGTTAAGGGACCAGTTCAAAGCCATACGGTGGCCTTGTGTGGCTAAGCACTGGAAGGGACCCTGATGAATTGGGGTAATAGGCAGAGGAGGTAACTCTTAGTCAGAAATGATTGGTTTAAACAAATTATTAGGTGTGAAGTAATGTTAGAGCTTCCTTGCTCAATTGTCCAGATGGGGTTTCCAGGAATGGCTTTCCAACTGAACTAAAGGCTGGTGGTCCCTGTGGAGCAGAACCCTGAGGGTGCAGTCCCAACTCTTCTCTGGCTGTTTCTAGTACACAGAAAACTGTCTGACTTAACTTTATACCTGGGAATCTTCAGATACTCCAGTCTCTTCAACAGGAATCCCTCTTCTCTGGCATTCAGATCAGAGGGTGCTCAGTCACTGTGGTCCCAAGGACTGCTTTCCCTCGAACAAAGTTGGCTTGTTTTCTTGGCAGGGCTGGCATCCCAGCACTCGAGGAGTGCTAACGGACTGCTTATCTCTGAGCCTCCATTATTGGATTGTGGGTCTTGAACAGCAAAAGTTTGGGTGCCCCAGACTATTTGAGAGCTGTGGTTGGTCACTGGGTGAAGGCCAGGTAAGGATAGAATTTAGCTAACCCAACACTAACACCACGCAGGGCACCCCCAAAAGTGGCCTTTCTCCCTGGTGGGTTCTCATTCAGAGAGGGCCCAAGGTAACCACTCCACTGGGGCAATAACTATGCACATTTACTAAGCCCTAAGGAGGAATGGCAGTCACGTGGCCCTCGAGGGCGGTGCCTTCAGCTTTGAGATGGCATGAATTGTGAATCTAATCAGAGAAGACTTTCTGGAGGAGGCGGAAAATTTGATGGCGGTCCATGTGACTTTCTCTGAAGAGCAAGGATGAACTACATGCTCTAGAGACCAAGTTGCTCTTGAGGTGAGCTTCTTGCTGGGAAAGGGGAGTCCAGGAGATGATGGGGTCCCGGGACCGGAAGAGCCTGTTTGGGTTGGAGTTGCGGGATCAGGCCTTGCTTGGGTTCCCCCAACCTGCCTTTGATCTGTCTTTAAAGAATGGGTGTGCAACGACTGTGCTAGGTCGGTGCTGCGGGGTCCCAGTGCTGGGTGCAGGCCTGGAGGGGGGGTTGTCTCAGCGCGGGGGGTGGGGCAGAGTGTTGGTGGCCCGGGTTGCGGCTGAAGGCTTGGCGGGGCCAGTCAGCCTGTCTTCCCTCGCGGTGCAGTTCCGCTGGGGTCCTGATGCCTGGCCCGCAGGGGCGAGGCGCGCGCTCCTCGGGGAGCCCGGCTGCGGTGGCACGAGAGGGCCATCTGCCTGGGTGCAGAGAACTGCAGCGTCTGTGGTGCTAGGCGAGGCCCCTCCCGGCCCCCAGGCCCGCGCGCACGCACCTACTCACGCCCGCCAGCACCCGCGGCCCGAGCCCCTGTGCCAGGCCCAGACCCAGACAAGGCGCGGGAGGCGGTGCAGGGATTAGTGGACCCCTCCCCCAGCGCTCCCCTCGCCCCGCCCGAGGCAGTGAGGACCCCTGGGCCCGAGGGTGGCAAGGGAGCTTCGTCCTGGCGGTGCCCGGGCTGGGAACTCGGCCTCACTGGGCGGGGGCCGCACCGCTGCAGGCCGAGGTGCGGGCGTCCTGTCAGGCTGCAGCCCGGCTCTGGTGCGGGGGGTGGGCTTAGCTTTGGGGTCGCATGGCCTCATCTCTCCGCTGAGGCCACGGCCGAGCGGGCAGTGCCCGAGCGGGTAACCCGACCCGGCTCCCCGGAGCCGCTCACCCCGCACGGCCGGGCAGGGGGAGGGAGAGGCTAGGGGGGAGGGGAAAGGGAAAGGGTGGTGGGTGAGGGGCTGTGGAGACCGCAGGGCCGAGTTCCCGGGCCATCTGCACTGCTCTAGGGCGGCTGTCCGCGGCGCCTCTGAAGACACAGCCCTCTGCCTCGCGGGCGTCGAGCCTGCAGCAGGAGTGAGCCCTGGGGCTGCAAAGGCTTGGCTCAGGGAGGCAGACCCGAGCTGCTGCCTCCATTTTGTTTCCTGCTCAGCTTGGTCTGTGGTGGTGGTGGTGTGGGTTTGGGGTGCGGCCGAGCAGGGGGTTCACCTGCGGCCGCGCCTGCTCGGGGCCTGAGGCCTCGAAGACCCCAGCCCAAACCCCCAGGTGAGCCCTGCGTCAGGAGGGGGGGTTTCCTTGGCCTTGGGCCGAAAGGAGGCGGCTGAGGGCAGGTGCCCAGTGGATGGGGAGCCCGGGCTGTAACCTAAGATGGAGGCCGGGACTAACGCGGGCCCGAGCCGGGCTGCCTGGGCTGTTGGGCAGGCCTCAGCCGGGCCAGGTGCCGCCGGGGTTGGGGTTCGAGACGGGTAGGTACTGTAGCCGTGTGCAGCCCCGTGCCGGCGCAGCGCCCTGAGGTAGGTGAGGGGATCGGAATGCCACCCACGACGCCCGCAGGCCCCGACACTCCCGGGAGGCGCGCGAGGCCCCTAGAGAGCCTGCCTCAGGCCCCGCCCGGGCTGCGGGGCCGGCCCGTAGGCCCGGGCGGCGAGCTGGAGCGCAGGGGGAGGGGAGGGGGCGGCAGCGGCAGCTCTGCTGATTGGGCAGCGCACTCGCGAGCCCGACTTCACCCGCCCTGAACCCCGAAGAGTGAGGCGTGGGAGCGCGCGCGCGGTGGGGGAAGGGGTGCGCGCGCACCTGGGGCCTCAGTCGCACGCGGGCCGGCGCGAGGCGCTCGGTGGCACGAGCCGCCGCGGGGGCGCGCGTGGTGGGGGTGTGAGGAGGAGGAGGAGGAGGCGGCGGCGGCGGAATAGGCCGGGGCAGGTCGCGCTTGCTGCCTTCCCTGAAGAGACGCGGGGGGAGGGGGGTGCGGCGAGCGGCTCCTCTCTCTCCCCACCGCTCCGCTCGCGCCCCAGTGTAATGAGGGTCACCCCCTCCCCCCAGCTGGCCCGGGAGGGGGCGCGGGGCACGGTAACTAGTGCGCTGGGGTGGGCGGCGGGCGGGCGGGCGCGAGGAGGGAGGAGACGACCGGGCGGGGAAGATGGTGGTGGCCGAGAGGTGAGGGGCTCTGGGGAGGGCCGGGTGCGGCGCGGGGTTGGTGGCCGACGGCGCTGCAGCTGCGGGCCCCCTCCCCCGCCTCCATCACTACCAGCCGGGCTCTGGCCTAGCTGGCCCGGCTGCCGCGAACTTCCTCCCCGCGCGGCCCATGTCCCGCCGGCCGGCCGGCCGCCCGCGCGCACCTCGGCCTACGCCTCCCACAGGTAGCCGGCTGGGGGGCGCGGGGGCGGCTGCCCTCCGGCAGCAAACTTTGCTTGCTGCTGAATATTGATGAGTATGATCGGCGCTGTTGGGAGGTGCTGCCGCAGCTGCGGGAAGGAGCGCGGCCCGGGCAGGCGGTGTCGGCGTCGGCAGCAGCCATGTTTGTCAAGCTGTAGCAGCTGCTGCTACCCTGACTTGGCTTCACCGGCCGCCTCGGTTTCTCTTTTTGCGGCGTCCTGGCCTATGGGCCCTGCAGCTGTGGACAGGGCAGGCCTGCAGTCAGGAAGGCGAACTCCAGGGTGCACCGGCCTCGGCCGACTCGCCCGCGGCCTGTGCACTGCCGCTGCAAAGGCTCCGGCGCYGGCTAGGCGCAGGGTGCAGCGCTATTGTGACCGCTGCGCCCGAGCGAGCCAGGAAGGAGGAGGGGTACCTTTTTGTGCAGGGTCCTGAAGCCCCTCTGGAATCCCGTAGCCCCCTCCCTTCAAGAGATCCGGCCGCTGGACCCCGGGCGGGGGAGGACGAGGACAATTCCTGTTTTAAGATTTTTAGGAATTTTGATCGCCAACGGGATTTTAATTTTAGTTTAACCCAAGTGTCCACCAGTCTGCAGTGCAGGAAAAAGGGACGGGTTGTTTCCATGTGGCAGGAGTTGCCCAGCTTCTAAAAGATGTAGTTTGCTGAGGCTCACTGAGGCCATTTTTCCACCTTCAGCCAGGAGAACTTTTTACACCCTTGGAAGTACAGCAGAAAAGCATAGAGGCCACTAGGCCTTGAGAAATGGCTGCCATTTTGAAGAGAAGAGTCAGATGGCCTTATTAACTCAGATTAATTACTGTGTTTTTGGATTCCAGGTTGATGCTGGCCCAGGATGGATCAGACCTGTGAACTATCTAGAAGAAATTGTCTGCTGCCCTTTTCCAATCCAGTGAATTTAGATGCCCCTGCAGACAAGGACAGCCCTTTCGGTAATGGTCAATCCAATTTTTCTGAGCCACTTAATGGGTGTACTATGCAGTTATCGGCTGCCAGTGGAACATCCCAAAATGCTTATGGACAAGATTCTCCATCTTGTTACATTCCACTGCGGAGACTACAGGATTTGGCCTCCATGATCAATGTAGAATATTTAAATGGGTCTGCTGATGGATCAGAATCCTTTCAAGACCCTGAGAAAAGTGATTCAAGAGCTCAGTCGCCAATTGTTTGCACTTCCTTGAGTCCTGGTGGTCCAACAGCACTTGCTATGAAACAGGAACCCTCTTGTAATAACTCCCCTGAACTGCAGTTAAAAGTAACAAAGACGATCAAGAATGGCTTTCTGCACTTTGAGAATTTTACTTGTGTGGACGATGTAGATTCTGAAATGGACCCAGAACAGCCAGTCACAGAGGATGAGAGTATAGAGGAGATCTTTGAGGAAACTCAGACCAATGCCACCTGCAATTATGAGCCTAAATCAGAGAATGGTGTAGAAATGGCCATGGGAAGTGAACAAGACAGCACAACAGAGAGTAGACACGGTGCAGTCAAATCGCCATTCTTGCCATTAGCTCCTCAAACTGAAACGCAGAAAAATAAGCAAAGAAGTGAAGTGGACGGCAGCAATGAAAAAACAGCCCTTCTCCCAGCCCCCTTTTCACTAGGAGATACAAACGTTACCATAGAAGAGCAATTAAACTCAATAAATTTATCTTTTCAGGATGATCCAGACTCCAGCACCAGTACATTAGGAAACATGCTAGAATTACCTGGAACTTCATCATCATCTACTTCACAGGAATTGCCATTTGTAAGCAGTTTTTGGTACAACTTAAATATATACATGAATGTATATACACAGGCCACTTAAAGGGAAGCTTAAAACAAATTTGTTTTTGGTTATCAGTTCACAGCTGAAAGCTAATGATAAGCTTTAATGGGGGAACTTTTACTTTGATTTTAAAATTTATCTGTCTTATGAGTGGTTCCTTTTAGCTTTTCCCAATAAATCTCCATTGAGGATTGGCTAAATGTTAAATTTATAAGGGCATTTGATTGAGTTCAAATTTAAGTTTTCAAGATGTAGGTATACTTTTTATTATCTCTTAGAAAAAACAAAAACTTGGTATTGCTAGTATCATGAATATAGGTGAACCAGTTCCTTACTTCAGAGTCCTGTTTCCACATAAGGCATGGCTTGTTTTCATTTAGTGGGTGATTTGCTGTAGGTTGAAATACATTTTGAGTATAGATTGAAAATGGCTAAGATGAAAAAGGTTTCCTGGATATCAGTCAATTTAAATGAGGTTAATTTTTCTGAACTATGTGAAGGTCTAGAACATCTTAGGCTTTTGATGGTTGCCACCATTAGGGTAGACTCTTTAATCTTTCCTAATTTTAAAATTTGAAGCATATTTATATGTGTGTGTATGTGTATGGAAATGGAGAAGAACTCACTTGAGGTTTTTTCAGTATTGTAATACTGTTAAAGGGTGGTAAATGATAAGGTTACTATTTATTAGAACTTAATGTAAAATTTTTTGACCTCTTTATTTAACTAAATGATCAGTTGACTTCTCTTAGCCTTGGTTTCATCACTTCTAATATCCAAAAGTACTTTGATTTCTAAGATTCCTGCTTCTTTCAGCTTTAAATATGATTTTGTTTCTCTCTAAATATCACATTGTCGTGGTCAGAGGTAGTGTCACCAAGAAGATATTTTTTCTTAATTTTTTTTTTTTTGGCTAAGAAATCCCTCATACTATGAAGATTTTATAAGAAGGATTTTAATAATATGTAATGATTGTTTTGAGTGCCTTAAACATTCACTGTAGCACACATCTCTGCTGTTCTTCATAGTTTCAGAGGGAGAATGTGGGTATGTTGAGTTTGTTTCTATTGATTCATATCTTAAACTTATTTAAATATACTTTAATAATCTGGTTTTTTAAGTTTGGCAGTTGCAGATTTAAAAAATATTGCTGTGGTGGTTATCATGAGTTTGTATTGTTCCAGACACATTGAGGTGGATAGGCTGTTTTGAAAACCTTCCAGTGGGGTTTGATGGTGATGGCAGCACAGGCCTGTAATCCCAGCAGCCCAGGAGGCTGAGGCAGGAGGATCTCAAGTTTGAAAACAGTCTCAGCAACTCAGCAAGGCCCTGTTTCAACAATAGAAAAAGTTGGGGAAAAAAGCAGTGGAAAAATAGCCCTGGGTTCAATCCCCAGTATAAACAAACAAACGAACAAAACAAAACTCTGAACTCTGACAGCTGAGGAGACAGATTTTTTTTTTTTTTTTTTTTGTACCAAGGATTGAACCCAGGGATGCTTAACCACTGAGCCACATCCCCAGCTTATTTTATTTTTTATTTTTATTTTAAATTTTATTTGAACTTGTGATCCTCCTGCCTCAGCCTCTAGAGTGGCTGGGATTACAGGCCTGTACCACCATTCCTGGAGAGACAAATCTTTTTCTTGGGTTCATGTTGAAATTTATTGTAGGCTGGGCACAGTGGCACATGCCTGTAATCCCAGTTATTTGGTAGGCTGAGGCAAGAGGATTGAAAGCTGAGCCACAACCCCAGCCCTTTATTTTTGTTTTGAGACAGAGTCTCACTAAGTTTCTTAGATCCTCGCTAAGTTACTGAAGCTGGCTTTGTTGTGATCCTCCTGCCTCAGCCTCCAAGTTACTGGGATTATGCCCAGCTGTCACCATATGCTACTGACATTTGTATTCACATTTTTTTTTTTTTTTTTTTGTGGTGCTGGGGATTTAACCCATGGCTTTGTGCATTCAAGTTAAGTACTCTACCAACTCAGCTATATTCCTAGCCCTCTGTACTGTTCACATTTGAAGTTCATTCAGGTATGGAGCCTATGCTCAGGGATAGGAATTTTGAAAATCCTTAGCAATAYTGTCTTTTATTCTGTTTGTAATATTATAAGATTCTTTCTCTAGACAGTGGGAAGGAGTAGTTATTATGGTTGTAAACCCAGTCTAGAATTAATTAGAAAGATACATCAATCAAGAAAATCTGTAAGCATACCGTTTGCATCCTGTCACAAAGGAGCAKCCTCTTCACTTTACTCTCTGGTGTTGTTCAAGTTTTGTCTGGTGGTGCTAGGGATTAGACCCAAGGTCTTGTGCATGCCAGACAGACTCTCTACCACTGCATTATATGCCTCCTGATCCTCTTCATTTATTTTCTGAGTACAGTGATATAAAATGATTATCATTACGATTTATTTTATTTTTTGGGTACCAGGGATTGAACTYGGGGGTACTCAACCACTGAGCCACATCCTCAGCCTCATTTTGTACTTATAGAGACAGGTTCTCATTGAGTTGCTTAGTGCCTCGCTTTTGCTGAGGCTGGCTTTGAATTTGTGTTTCTCCTGCCTTAGCCTCCTGAGCTGCTGGGATTATAGGCGCGTGCCACTGTATCCGACTCTCATTATAGTTTATAATCCTGACCTTGTTCTTATATTTAATCTTCTAATTCCCCCCAGTGTACAAAGGCTTTGTGCATAGTATGTGTAGATAATATCTTGAAGAAGAATTGACCCCAGAGCTACAGCTTCTTGTTTATTAACTACTTTGGTCTATATTGTTTCATTGGGTCTTTATAATCTTGTGTGTCATAAAGTAGGCAGAATGGTACACACCTGCAATCCCAGCAGTGCAGGAGGCTGAGGTAGGAGGATGGCAAGTTTTTATTTTTATTTTTGGTACCTATGATTGAACTCAGGGATACTTAACCACTAAGCCACATCCCCAGCCTATTTTTTTTTTTTTTTGTTTTTATTTAGAGATAGGGTCTTGCTGAGTTATTTGGGGACAGCTTGGAAGGCCTTGCTAAATTGAGGCTGGCTTTGAACTTTCAGTCCTCCTGCCTGAGCCTCTCAAGTCTCTGGGATTACAGGTGTGTGCCATGCCAACCCCATCTTTCTTTTCTGAGAAGAAAATTGATCTCTCCATGACCTCTGTTGATCTGCTTTCTGACACTTTTTWAAAAAGATTTTGTTTTATAATTACTCTTTTCCTCTAGGATCTATGTTCTCATTCTCTCCATTACGTTACTGTTTCCTGGGAAAATAAGGAACATTTAAAGGAATCTTATCCTGTCTTATAACTCCTGAAGTTACTGTGCCCATTTATAGGTGATGKTCTCAAAACAGGCATCTATTTTATTTCTCTCTAATGTTCTAGTTTTGCTTTTGTATCCACTTTGCTGAAACTGTTTTTTAATAAATTACAAATGACATCATTCTCATATTTGCTGTACTAGATTTGCAGCAGTTTGACTGCTTCTTTTCTTTTTCCTCCTCTTTCTCTGTAGTCTTACCTACTTTGATTCATTTACTTTGCTGTTACTCTTTTATTTATTTATTTATTTTGGTACCAGGAATTGAACCCAGGAGCACTGAAGTCCTGAGCTATGTCCCCAACCCTTTTTTATATTTTATTTAGAGACAAGGTCTTGCTAAGTTTCTGAGGCTGGCTTTGAACTTGTTGTGATCCTCTTGCCTCCAGCCTCTTGAGTCACTGGGATTACAGGCGTGAGCCACCACACCCAGCTGTGAAATTTTTTCCTGTCTTTGAAGCTTCAGATCAAGAAATTCTAACCCTTCTCTTCAATCTTAAGTCATATTCACTTAAAATGTAATATTAACAATTTGAACCCATCTGTTATTGCCAAACCTGTGTTTCCTTTGTGTTAATAATTATATAATTTCCTGTTCATCTYCGGACTGGAAACCTTAGAGTCATTTATTCACATATGATTAAAACATTTGAGGGCTGGTGTTGTAGCTCAGTGGTAGAGCACTTGCCTAGCATGTGTGTGAAGCACAGGCTTTAATTCTCAGAACTGCACATAAATAAATATTCATTGACAACTTAAACACATTTGAACTAGGTGTGGCATGATGGTACRTGCCTGTAATTCCAGTGACATAGAAGGCTGAGGCAGGAGGTTTGCAAGTTCAAGGCCAGCCTCAGGAACTGTTGAGACCATGTCCCGAAATTAAAMATGGTCTGGGGATATAACTCAGTGGTAAAGCGCCTCTGAATTTGATCCCTAGTAACAAATAAATAAATAAATAAAKGAACACAAACAAACAAATAAAACATTTGAGTGCCTCCTTTTTGCCAGAAACTGCCAGCATCACAAAACAAAACAAAAACACAAACAAAAAACACCAAAAGAGTATGTTTTTAAGTAATTTCTCTGTGGTGAAGATAAATATAAAAAATGTTACTAAACATTGCTAAATGATCTGGTAGGTATTATATAGATAGTACTTTGCAAGTATGGAGGAAGGCATGCCTGGAGTAATCAGTGAGAACTCCATAGAGTAGTTATTTATCATTTGAGCAGATCCATGCCAGTAAGAGAGTAGACTATGGATATTGAACATTCTTTGATAGGTTTCTGGTAGGAATTGGGTTGTCAGGAGATAAAGGTATAAAGATAAACCTCATGGCATACTATAAAATTGAATTCTTATGCTTTTTTGCTAAATATTATAAATCCCCTTAATCTTTCTTTATTCTCATTGTAGTGTCAGGTCTTATTGCTGATCATCATTTAGTCATATTCATGAGTCTATATTATATAAAATTATTTCCTGTCTCAAATAAAAGAAAGACTATCTTTAGACTCTTCATGTTTACAGCTGTGCCTTTGCCTTCAGCACTGGTGGTGTACCACCACTGGTGGGGTAGAGTGCTTCTCTTCCATGTGGGAGGGTCTTGGTTCCCTCCCTAGCACTGAGGGAGGGGGGAAAAAAGAGAGAGCTGTATCTT